ATATAGGTGCTTCATCCGCCGGCGCAGAGGTGTGGTCCGTCTGACCGACTGCAGTCTCGGCGCCTGTCTGCGTCGGGAACTGAGAGCAAGTCGACGGCACGGGCAAACGCAACATCAGCATGCCTCATAATACGCACCGGAAATACTGTTCATACCATTCGAGTTCCATGCACACAGTTTCCCCTCACGAAAAGTAGGGTCTTCCCCGCGATAGATTCTCGGATAAATCGTGGGTCTTGAGCTTCAGTCTGCACGTCGAAGGCTCACCGCGACACAAGATCGTGAGCTTCAAATCTCTGTCGCATCCGCAATGGAGCTGGCTCATGTCAGCAAACTTTATAAAGTCAACGCTTTGAGACGCTCTCGTTTCTGATTTCGGGAGGCTTCTGAAGACGTTCCGTGACACCATTGAATTTCTCCTTAGCGCTATGCTTAGGTCCCAGCACCAGTCCTTGCGAGATCGCATGTAGAAATATTTGAACCCTTATAATGATATACGGATAGAGATCAACCGTCTTTTCATGATTCTGCTGCCATTGTTTGCGTGATTTCAGCATTTGCCATTCATTGATCTCATCACTTGACAACCGGGCAACATGCGATGCCCAAGTACCTCCACATCTTAACTTCAGACGATAGCCAGCTAAGGTCTAAACGTTGATCGTTAACGGCCTCGAATCCAACTAGAATTGTGCTGCATCAGACAGCCCTACCAGTGTGACTGAGGAGGAAGGAGGTGCCTCAATGACGCCCTGTGCACAGCCAGGAAATCACGTTATACATACACAGCCAATGTGGCTCCTGCAAAGGGGCAGAGTCATGCGAATCCAGAGCAAAATCGATGCGTTACCATGAGAATGAATCTCCATTTCGGACCATTCTTGGCAGTTCTTCTGATGCGGGGCTATGGTCAAACCGGCGGTTCTAGTGAGGTCATGTTGGAAAGTGGTCAACCTGCACGGAACTGCTGCTCGGCCACGCAAGGCGAGACACAACCTCCAACGATACTCTTGCGAGATTCCGGCACCGCGCCGCGGGCGTAAATTGAGACAGTCAGCCACCTCCGCATGAGTTCTGGGCCTCATCGCACTGTTGGCACCAACTAGGGACCCCAATACCATGGCTTATGCATACTATCGACACATCATTTCGCTTTCGAAACAGGCTGGGAAGCAACAGGAGCTGTCAAAAGGAAGATGCACTTTGTGATAGAGCGAAGCTGCAGGCTGGGCCCGATTGAGACAAGCGTTCTTCCACCTTGAAAAACTGCATGGATCATTTCGAATTTCTTGGCAAGATGAACTGGCTTGGAAGAGGGAAAGAAAACTTAACCACCTTCCCAACACTGTCGTCCACCTTTTCCCTGGTCCGGACGTCTAGACGTAAAGTATGAGCTTATGATATTCTAGAAGAGACTGCTGGACCAGCCTCGCATGGATACCACTGAGAGAAGAGATCACAACGCTAAAAGTGAGTATTCCCATGTTGAAACCGCGCCGACAATAGAAATTTCCATAAATTGAAATGAAACTGGCCTTCAAGAACCGTCGGTGACATGTGCTCTAGACGTTCCATCATGTCATATGGATGGTTTTTGGGGTAGTATTGTAGCCGAATCGAGAGTATTCTGTTGAGGCGGCATGGCCTCATCCCCAGCCACAGCAGTATCAAGAAAGTGGAAATATTTCGTGACGCTGTGCGACCACTAATACTAAGTTGGGTATGAAACAGCTCTGTAAGGCCACGCTGAGAGACCGAAAGAAGTAAGTCCGCCGTTCCGGTCAGACGTCGGAGCGTTGGGGTTTCAACGGCGGGCGGGCATTGAGATAAGCGCACACGTGGGTGATTGTAAACTGTGCAGGAAATGCGTTCTAAAGCCCCGAGTCCGTCATCTCCGTCGGGTTTGCTGGTGTGGCTCGTCTGACCAACCAAGTTCCTGGCCTGGGGGCTGAACGAGGGCGGGCAGAATGAGGGAACAGGCCGCGTCATTCTCAGCCTGGTATTTGATCGAGCACCCCAGAGTTTGGCGGCGGTTGTGATCTAGCCTGATACTCAGACAGGTTGAAGTTTTTCAACTTTGAGATTCTAAGAAACAGACCGCCTAATCTTCCGATGTCTGCGCTGCCCTATTTCCTTTTCATATCTCACTTCGCCAAGGGTAGCAAGTAATCGAGACGTTAATGATAGCAGTGACGATAGTAGAAACGACGACAGCAGCGATAAAATAACGACAAAGTTGATATTCGTAGTAGAGGAGGCGAAGATAACAACGATGAGGAAGATGACAACAAGCTTGGAGGAAGAGTAGTCTGTCTACCAGCAAATTGGAGGTGATGCTGGCGGAGAAAGTTGCTTATTCTAAGGTCATATGCGTCCGGGTTATGCTATATATGATGACCACAAGCAGACCGAAAGCGCCCTGAAACATCATCGTCTTCGCTCCATTCTCCCACCACACTGCGTTGAGCACATTAGCACATGTCACTACGAATAAGTCGGGGAAACATATTGCACACGCTCACCACAGTGAGCATGTCAATGTTCTCAACAGATTGAATATCTATAGTGAAGCGTAGTCTCCAGGACTTGACCACGAAGAACAATCCGAAGGAGAAGGTTGCGCCATAGCCTGAGCCGAGTGCCGGGTTTTGATGTGCCTCCGAAGATTATCTGTGCGGTTACCTTTGATGGGCGCGAAGCAGATGGAGCAGGTCAGGAACGTGCTCGAGTGGGCTGACTTGACGTGACGCGTGAGGTCTCGAGAAGTACTGAAACTCTGGGCACATCCTGATACCGTGCAAGCATGTGTTTTCTCATGGCATCGCATGTGCTCTCTGATGCTAATCAGCCAGTTGTGGCGAAATACATAGTGGATAAGACGAACCTCAAGCTCCTAACATCCCCGGAGAAGACAAGGCAAACCGAACACGAATAAGTCTTGACGCTCTTGACTTGCCTGAGCTTTGGGCCGGCCTTGCTTAGTCTGGGTTTGATAGCAGGTTCGTCAATACGCTGAGCTTCGATTGCCATTTCATCGAAATACGTAGGCTGGAGGCTGTCCCACGGATCCATGGCGGAGGGCACAGTCGGGCCGTTGTAGGCGTTGGTGGGCTCAGAAGGCTGTGAAGCAAACTGGTAATTTCTGAGCGAGTTCGGCATGGAGAAAGGCACGTCAATGGCCCCGAGCAGATCAGGGAGGAATTGGTGCTGTTGATGTTGTCCAAGATTGCTTCCACCTAGCAAACCGATGCCATAGTCGATTGATTCGCCTCCAGTCTGCGTTGACTCGACTGCAAATTGAGAGCTATCAAAGCTCGAGCTATTGTTTCGTCTTGCATCGGAAGATGGATCGACAAGTGCCAGATCAAAGACGTGGCCGAGTGAGTTGTGGAGAGTGTACGGCTCAATCCTTCCGACTCCTCTGATGTCTTGAGAACTCAAGAGAGAGCCCCCTTCCCGAGTAAGACTACTTGACCTGCCATAATTGCCTGCGATGAGGTTGTTGACATCCCCATCAATTAGAGAAAACGATGAGTCGGTGCTATGTTGCTCTTGAAATCCGAATGATCCTGTTGAAAAGGACGTGACAAAGTTATTGTAATCTTCGGCACATGGGCTCGACACGCCTGCTTGGAGATTCCTGCGTGTCAAGTGTTTGAATGAAGAAAGGTCGTGAGAAGCTTCTGCATAGGTAGTTGGTGGCTGAACCAATGCCTCTTGGAAAGTCCTGACAAGGTAATCGACGTAGTTAGAGACGTGAGGCTAGCATGATGACAGAAGGCAAGGCATTATGGGTGACATACAAGTTGGTTCTCGAGGGAGGGTTCCTAAGGAAGGATGCCGGATGACCATGATTACTGCGAAAGAAGTCAGAGAAATTGTCATCCATGGTCCAATGAGTGGGCGAAGTCATATGGGTTTAGTCAGCCGTTAAGACGCATGGGAAAACTTACAAAATCGAAGGGATCCCCCATCCCGTTTTAACAAACCGGGAAAAAGGGCAGTAATTCGACAGTAGTTGATTGTTTTCTTCGCACCATGAACTGAGGAACTTGCCCATCTTATAGAAACCATCGAGAGGTCATCTTGAGACCTTTCTTTGATCCAAGGCTCACTCGATCATGTTGGGGCGCATAAGGCGTCCGCTGATTTTCCCGTTCTTGGGAGGCCACGCTGCAGCGCGCCTCATCTGCGCCTCAATGTGACATGGCATACTGCTGATAGCGGTCTCGACCATAGACTGGGAGATTTTCGGTGAGATCAGTAGGCTGTTCATGCAGAAGCTGCCACGACATCGGCTTTTACGCGCGCTCTTGTCGCTGTGGAACCAAGTGGCAGGCTCGGGAGTGGATGAACAAGTGCCACGCTGGAACACATCGATTCCAGTCAGCCTAAGCTGAGGTGAACTGGTCAAAATTTCCAACGCAACTCCTCAATGTCATGCAGGTACCCTCTCCGCCTGGGAGTTCCCACTGACGCCTCAAATTGAGGCCCCATCGCAACCCCTCAATCCCGCGCCTCAATTTGAGGCCACGGGCATTGGGCCTCTTGGAGGCGCAGGCGGCTGTGAGCTAGCGATACTCGCATGCTTCTCCACAGCCACTATTCCACCACTTCATCCGCCCCGTGAGATGCATAGACATCTTCGGAACAAGAGAGGTCCGCCTGCAGTCAGATGGACATCGGTAGAGTAAGGCGTTTTTCTACCTAGAGTATCCGTATTTACCTACACAAGCGTTGTGGATGATTGTACTCCAACAAATGTACACGCGGCCAAGATGGCCACCAAATGAAGCGATTTCTTCCCGAGAACATTCCAGGTTCTTTTCCCACGGGGTATCTTCCGTAACGCCAAGTAACTCAGACAAAAATCCATTCCGATGTCCTTTCCCCTTGAGTACCATTGTACCAAACGCTGTAGCTAGTCTGCGGGCTGAGCCAGTATCGGGAGCCATCCATGCTCAGTATAGAATCATGAGAGAGAATGCAAACAATCAGGCTCAGTAGTATCCACGGCCCTTGCGACGATCGTGGTGGTGATTGCGACGACCACCGCCCCAGCCTCCATCACGCTTCATGTCGCGGTGGTTGTGGTTCTTGCCCTCAGGCTCCATGGGCACCTCGACCTCGACCTCGTAATCCTCATACTCGTCCTTGAAGTAGGGCTCGACCTCGCGGCGCTCGCAGCGCGCCTGCTCCGGGTCGAAGACGAAGCGCATGGTGCCGTCCTGATTGCGACCATTGCGCTTAGCGGAGTTGCTACCAAAGAAGCTGATGTTCTTGAGGACGGAGACGCCGTTGGATAGGTTCTCGTCCTCGCCGCCGTCGCAGTTATTGCACCAGTGCGCGTACCGAACGAGTTTGTCATCGTTGTCGACCTCACTGTTAATGATGATCTTGACCTCGATGAACTTGTTCAGGTCGAAGCGGTTGCCGAGCTTCGTGGACTTGAGGTGCTGGGTGTAGAGGTCCAGGAGGTCGAGCATGGTCTCGACGATGTTCTGACGGGTGGTATGGTAGACGGAGAGGTCGACCTTCTCGATTTTGTCGACGCCAGTGCCAAGAAGGCGAGCGGTGAGCTCGAGCAGGGCGAGGGCCATCGCGAAGGAAGGCTGCTTGATAGGAGCAAAGGTCTTGTAGAGGTCGATGCTCATTTCCATAGCAATAGCGAAGATTTCTTTGGCATCAGCACCCATGATCTGCTTGGTGACCTTTTGAAGAGAGGCTTGCGGGTAGCGGCAACGAAAGTCGAATCCGACGGTCTCGAGAATCAGGCGCTCTAGGCCGATGACGATCTTGGAAGGTTGCTCGAACATCTGTGATGTGTCAGTCAAGGTCTTGCGCTAATGTAGAGACCCGACGACGTACCTTGTCATCTTGAGTTGTAGGATGATCCGGATTCTTAATGTTGTACGCAGCGCACAGAATCTCCTTGGACTTCTTGATGGTGTCCTCAACCTTGCAAGCGAGGAAGAGCGAGGCCATAGCGGCATCCTGATAGTTGTACTCGGCGTCGCGGAACGACAGGCGGAACCAGTGATAGTACACGCAGGCGGTATCGAACGTCTTGACCGGTCTGTGAAAAAGTAAGCCTTGAACCGGGAAAAAGGAGCAAAGTAACGACGTACACATGGAGCACGTTGCGGACGTTATCGATCAACTGCACTCCTTGGAGACGGTAGCTGTCCTCCCTAGCTGGATCGCTCTTGTTGTCTCTCAGCATGCGGCGCAAGCGCTGCTCGCTGGTGTACTGGCAAGACACCTGCATGTGGCCAGGGTGAGGTCCCTTGGGAACCTGGGGCTCTGCGGCAGGGGCCGGAGTCGAGCTGTTTGTGGAAGCATTGTTCGAAGCCGCAGCTTGCTGCTGGGCCTTGGGGCCGGAAGGAGCCATCAGGACGGTCGCGTAGCGGCGCTCGAGGTAGAACGGGTCGTCGTCGGAGCTGTTGCTGCTGCTCGAGAACTCGATGAGATCCTCAGAGGAGTCGGTGCAAGGCTCTGCGTCGTTGTGGTCGCCGTGGCAGCTCTCGTGATCGACAGCGCTGTCCTCGCCTCCGTAGACACTGCCGCTCTCGTCGAGGTCGCTCTCGTCAGCGTCGCCAATGTCGTAGTCGCTGTCGTAATCGCCCTTTCCCTCGCTGAACCGGGCCTGGCTCTCGTCCTTCTTGGTGTCAGAGCTCTCGTTCTCGAAGTCGTCGGCGTCGGCGTCGGCCTCTGGCTCGTCGTCCTCGTCTTCCTCACTCTCTTCGAGCTCGGCAAAGCTGCGCACGGGTGCGATGTCGTACGGATCTCCAAGAAAAGAGTAGTCGCAGTGAAAGACAGCGTCACCGTCCAACGGAAGGTCGAGGATCTCGTTGCTGGGAAGGAGCGAGATCTGCTGCCGAGTGGCGTCCGTGACTCGGTAATGGATGTGCTCCAACGCGCCCGTGTAAATCTCGGCGGCAAGGGTCTGGGTGATGAACGGCGGCGGCGGGCCAGCGTCAGCGACGTGCCAGTTGTACCGTTTTGTCTGCACGGACCACAGGCGCCAGTCTTCGTGCTCCACAATCCGGAGACGGAGACGGGGCGGGAACACCGTTCGGTCCTCGCCCACCAAGACCCTGACCACACCAGATACGGTCCAGGCGTCTAGGGTCTCGGTGGCATTGTGAGGGCCGAGGAGGTCGAGTGGCGCTTCATAGTTGTTGAATCTCTGGCACCAGGCAGAGAGAAGGCCTCTGGGCATCTATACGTCGGTATTAGCATGAACACAAGAACGGCGGAACTGATGGCCAACGCCCATGGTCGCGATGGCTAAAGGTCTGAAATCCATGAGAAGCGGCAATGGTGGACACCATGCACGACAGTGACCTCAAAAATAAAAATGACAGTAGAAAACAAAAGTGAAGCAAAAACATGGGAAATATGTCGCACGAATCGCCGACGTAATCGAACAGAGAAAATGAAGGACGCCGCTTATAACACAAAACGCTGATAGAGAGAGAAAGGGAGGTTGGTGGCTGCGCGCTGCTCAGAAAGTGAAGCCATCGCGATCGCCCAAAATCTGGTAGTCTGTGAAGCTCCGAAGGACTCTCGCCAACGACAGACTTCATGGACCAGGGGTAGAAACGACATAGAAAATCCCCAAGACGCCTTCTGGCTTCGTATCAGCTTACCTTGGCTACACCTCGACGAGGAAGCAATCTCGACAAGTCGTCTCAGGCGAGGCGAGCTGGGCGCAAAATCCGGCGAAGCAGCTGAGGAGTTCGCGATGGAGATCCGCGTCGATTCGAATCAGAAATGTCGAGCAAGCGAAAGGAAGAGAACACTGCAACGATTCGAACACAGTAGACCAAGTCTATAATAGACCAGTCGAAAGTCGGTTTGTAAGATGAGGGCAAAGAACAACAAGAAGATCGAGGTGAAGGTTTTTGTGTCTGAGTCTATTTTTTTCCCTGGGAGCAACGATGGCTCCGAAAGTAGGTACAAAGATTTCATTCCAGCCATTGCTCTTTCCTTATCCAACCGTTCGCTAAAGACCACAAAGAGGGAGAGGTGCCTCGCTGCCTCATGAGACAATGCTCTGCGAGGGCTTCACGCGGGGACTTTGAAGCCTCACTCGACAGGGACGTGGGCCCTCTGTCCAGACAGCAGCTCTTTTAGGCCGAGGCCTGTCGTCATGTCAACCAGATGTCTGTAAGTAGAGTTAGCTTGTGCTAAGGCAAGCGTCCAAAGACAATGAAGTGTTGTGAGAACATCTCAGAGTGTTGCGTAGTTTCATGGTGAATACTCAATCCCGTCTTGAAACATTGTTGAGTGGATGCAAGTCATCATGACGAGGCAGGGAGGGTAGGGCAAGATAAAATCAGAACTAAACATACCTTTTGAACGTTGACACCAACTCTATAGCACCAGGCGACACGAGCAACATCTTCGAGACCATCATATGGCAACATCACTCTCCGAGACTGCTCGCTCTCGCCGCCCGGCACCCACTTCCAAAACTCTTTACTCATCGGTGCAAGTGTCCTCCGCCTGAGGAACGCGTTTTCCGATGGCCGGGACCTCGGGGGCGACGGTGTTCGGGTCCATAGTCGGGATGTTGAACGTCTGCAGCGGCGCCGCAAGGACGGCCACTGGGAAGAGGACGTAGAGAACCTTGGAGAACTGCATCTTGACTGTCGTCGGATGGCTGCAGGAGAGAAACGTGCGAGGGAGATGGGAGGAAACGACTGCAGAGAACAAACAAATGCAGGAACGATGGAAACGAGAAGATCAGACTCTTCTAACAACTTTGCAAAGAGATGGAAAACTTCGATGGCGAACTGAGGTGGTGTTTCATATCGTCCATGTCAGCGGCGCCTCGTCCATACTTATGGGCGAACCGCTGCCACTGCCACAGCCATAAAAAGACGCCGTGACAACCGACCGAACATGCGCTGTCCGCAGTCCGAGCCAAGCCCTTCCCACAAAGATCGGCCGATCAGTGTCAGAGAGTTGTCCAGCCACGAGTGCGCATCACAGCCCGCTTCGCATTCCCTCGTCATGCAACCCTCGGCGTGCGCCAGCTGTGCCAGCACTCGTCAGCGCCGTTTGAAACAGGGGACCATCTTGGAGGTGCCCTGAGAAGCGTTTCAGACGGCAGGGAACCTCTGCAACGTGGGATCTACCCGCCGGAGCATGGGCTTGTCGAACATGGAGTCCCCTCGAGTCATCGCCGTCATTGTCAGCGTCGTCGTCAACACCCGTCCGGGAGCTGGGCTAGCTTCGCAGTAGGCCAGCGCTTGAAGACCCCGCCATGGCCGGAGGATTTCAACCAAGACTTTGACGGATGTCTGACTGGAGGTCGAGGAGAGAAAAGGATAGCAGAGCTAAAGAAAGCTCCAGAAGTACTGGGGTAGGAGCTCTGAGACGCTAACGCTTTTAAGCGAGAAAATCCCGTGACTTGGGCAGTGCACGGGCCAGATTCTGCAGGACCAAGAGCGACGGGCCTTTCGGAATCATCTCCAAGACCTTTGGCGCTGTCCGTGGCCAATGGGAAGCTCCAGTGATTAGGCCGGGCGATAACTGAGGCGCAGAGGGAGCTCCCCCAATGTCACAGGCAACCTGCTTGGCCGTGTCGTCAGCTTCCCTCGCCACAGTCCAACCTTCCCTTTGGCAAAGGCACTTGGAACATCATTGCTTCAACCAACACCAGACTGTTGGATTCATAACCTAGCACTGATCATCAGTATTCCCATTTAGCAGAGCCATCCAAGATGAAGTCCCTCTCCATCGCCAGGCTTCTCACGGCCGGCTCCCTTGCCGCTGTCGCATACTCCGCCGCCGTCCAGAGACCGCTCTCGGACGACAACAACGACGACCCTGACCACCCCATCCCGCTCATCATCTGGCACGGCCTCGGTGACTCCTATGACGGCGATGGCATCAAGCAGGTCGGCGAGCTCGCGGAGGCAATCAACCCGGGCACCTTCGTCTACAACATCAAGGTCGGCACCGACGCCAGCAGCGACCGGTCCGCCACCTTCTTCGGCAACGTCACCACCCAGCTGGAGCAGGTCTGCGAGGAGCTCGCCGCGCACCCGATCCTCTCCACCGCCCCGGCCGTCGACGCCATCGGCTTCAGCCAGGGTGGCCAGTTCCTCCGCGGCTACGTCGAGCGCTGCAACAAGCCCCCCGTCCGCAGTCTCGTGACCTACGGCAGCCAGCACAACGGCATCGTCGAGTTCAAGGCCTGCGGCGACTCGGACTTCCTGTGCAAGGGCGCTATGGCCCTCTTGCGCTTCAACACCTGGTCGAGCTTTGTGCAGAACCGCCTCGTCCCCGCCCAGTACTACCGTGACCCGGCCCCCGACCAGTACGAGAAGTACCTCGAGTCGTCCAACTTCCTCGCCGACATCAACAACGAGCGCGAGCTCAAGAACGTCCAGTACAAGAAGAACCTTGCCGGCCTGTCCAACTTTGTCATGGTCATGTTCGAGGAGGACACCACCGTCATCCCCAAGGAGACTGCCTGGTTCGAGGAGGTCAACGGCACGGAGAGCCTGCCGCTGCGCGCCCGCCAGATTTACAAGGAGGACTGGATCGGCCTGAGGGAGCTTGACCGCAAGGGAGCCCTCCGCTTCCGCCAGGTGCCCGGTGATCACATGCAGCTGACGCAAAAGAACCTCAACAAGACCATTTCCGAGTTCTTCGGACCCTTCAAGAAGAGCTTCAGCTCCGAGAAGGCTAGCTTCGTTTCTGAGGAGTTGTAATTGATAACACAGTACGATTAATGGGACTGTTAATGGCGCGCGAGTATTGGTAAAAGGGGCAAATTGTACACTAGGTCTGATTGATAAATCCCTTGACACACAAGTTCTCTCTCTGGTTATTTTTGTCTGAACCAACGCCGTACGCCTCGAACCATGCATGGTATAATCCCGCAGGAATCCCTCTCCTTTTGTGGACTCTTTTTCGTTTTTATGTAAACGCCACGTTCTTAGTTGTCCACAGCAGCCTTGGCCTTGGCCTTCTGCTTCCTCAACTTCTCCTTCTGCGCCACGGCAATCTTCTTGTCGAGCTTCGCGTCGTCGCCCTCGGGCAGGGCCTTGGGCGCGGCGGCCTTCTTGGCCTTCTTGGTCGTCGGCTTGGTCTCCTTCTCCTCCTCCTCCTCTCCCTCGGGGGCGGCCTCGATCGACTTGCGCTTCTTGCCAATGTTGGCCTTCTCTGAGATGGCCTTGGCCTCCTCGCTGCCGTCGGCGACGATGTCCTTCTGCTCGAGCCAGAGCTCGTCCGTCAGCCAGATGGGCAGCGCGGCCGTCTCCTGGCCCTTGACGTAGATGCTCTTGACGTTGGCCCACTTCTGCGGCACCCACTTCTCGACGAGCGCCTTGACGACGGCCTCGACGTTCTCGGCGATCTGCGCGGCGGTGAAGCCGGCGTAGCCCACGCGGATGGCCGTGTTGGTCGAGGGCGTCAGGCTGACGAGCGCGCAGCCGACGGCCTTCTCGATCTCAGCCGCGATGTCCTGCGGCGTGCCGGCGCGGACGGAGCCCTGGGTCTTCTCGGCGGGCTTCTGGCGCTTGCCGTCGATGCGGGTGGGCTTGGGGGAGAGCACGACGGGGATGGGGCGCTTGGTGGTGCTCTTGTAGAAGGTCTTGCCGAGGGCCTTGGGCAGGCGGTTGATGATGCGGTCGTCGGCGAGGAAGATGTCGTGCTCGGCGTAGAGCTTGCGCTGGGCCTCGTACTGCTTCCACTTGGCCTTGAGCTTGCCGACGTCGACGACGCGGGTGATGCGCTTGCGCAGGGCCTCGGGGAAGTCGTCGGAGGCGATGATGTTCTTGTAGGCGCGCTGGGGGTCGGCGGTGATGAGGCATATCGTGGACTCCTCGTCCGTGTTGAGCGGGTGCGGGAGGACGATCTTGCCGGGCTTGAGGCGGTTGGTGTCGGCGATGTGGCGCTTCGTGGTGAGGGTCAGCCAGACGGGGGAGCTGGCGAGGTCGTCTTCGGGGTCGGCGAGGAGGTTCTTCTTGCCGGATTCCTCTGTCTTGGAAGCGGCGGCCTTCTTGATGTGGGCGAGGAGCGCCTTGGATGCCTTCAGGGTCTGCATTGTTTTTTTTCTGCGATTAGAGAACGGAACGGGCTTTGTCAGTGGCGAATCGGGTGTAAGTTCTCACCTGCTCGGGGTCAATTGCGGGCGCGACATCTTTCGATGCGACGGCGACAGCCTTGGAGGTCTTTGAGGGGGCCATGACTACAGATGTTGTGGTGGAACGTCTGTTTGTTCTAGCTGGAGAGGATGGGGATGCAGAACGTCGCCTA